TCTGGCACTCATAGACATGAAGAATCAGCATGTGAATCTCAGCAATGGTGACAAAATATTCTGATAATTTTTGTGTGATTTTTGAACGTCACAAAACAAGGCAGTAAAACGTCACAACAAAAAATAACTAAAATAAATGCAAATAGTAAAAATAAAAGAAAATACTAAGACAATGCAGCTGCATCATTTATTCGTGTTGCAATGCATGCTGGGAGCCATGGATGAGTTATGATTGGTGCACCCAGAATGCAATGCAGCATGAATCTGTCTGATGATCATCACCATTGTTGAGATTCATATGCTGATTCTTGATGTCTGCGTGTCTAAACAGCACAGATGTTCTAAACTGGTGTGCAAAGTCTTTTTAAAGCTCTTCCTGTTGTTTCATGAAAATTCAGTTATGATCAATAAACTATGTTACACACTACCACTGGTGACATCAGTGAACCTGGCTGCATCACGACAACAGCGTCATTTATAAAAAAAAAAGGGCTTTCAAATGAGTAAATTTTCATTAAAAAAAATAAATAAATATATATATATATAATCTGAACACATTTTCTCTTGGTTTTTATTGCCATAACAAATGTGTTCCATAAACACAGTGACAGCAACCAGAAAAAAGCTAATGTTAAAAAGGTCAAGGGTCAAGAGCCCAACTAAAGCAAACGCTTATCTCCACAACGGTGACTTCAAATTGTATTATTTTCTAATTAAATCTCTGTTAATTCTTAAGACATTTTTAGACGCATGACAAACAAAAATTCAAACTGGTTAGTAATGTGCGAAGCTGGAGATGCTGTTTGTGGAGATGATTAATCATCTTCTGCTGAGATCTTGAGAGATTTAATGTCTTCTTTTATTTCAGTTGATTTTATCTAAGGCTATGGCTGAAGTCAGTTGTAGTTCTTGTGTTTCTCTTTTCTTCAGTGACTCTGCTTGTTAACAGCAGCTGTTCATCACTAATGCTCAATCAGCACTTAATTAATCACATAATTATCTCATTAACTTTAACACTCTTTTAGAGTGGGACCATATATGCTCCGAGCAGTGTTAATTTACCACTCGGGATTTTACTGTGTAGGTATTATCAAATGGCCAGAGTTTTGAGAACACAGCGGATGTGAAGGACTATAGTGCGATAAGAGCTCAATCAAGTACTGAGGAGCTAAACCATTAAGGGCTTTATAAGTAATTAGCAAGATTTTGAAATGTACACAATGTTTAATAGGGAGCCAGTGCAGAGTTGACAGAACCGGGCTAATATGGTCATACTTCCTGGTTCTAGTAAGAACTCTAGCTGCTGCATTTTGGACCAGCTGGAGTTTGTTTATTAAGCACTCAGAACAACCACCCATAAAGCATTACAATAATCTAACCAGGTCATGAACGCATAAATTAACGTTTCTGCATTTGACATTGAGAGCATAGGTCGTAATTTAGATATACTTTTGAGATGGAAAAATGCGGTTTTACAAATGCTAAAAACATGGCTTTTGAAGGAAATATTGTCATCAAATAGCACACCTAGGTTCCTAAGTGATTATGAAGAATTAACAGAGCAGCCATCAAGTGTTAACGGTATTCTAGGACATTACATGTAGGGTTTTTGGCCCGATTATCTATTTTTTTCAGAATTTAGCAGTAAGAAATTACTAGTCATCCAGTTTTTTATATCAACTATGCATTCCGTTAGTTTTGCAAATTGATATGTTTTGTCAGGCCACGAAGAAATATAGAGCTGAGTATCATCAGCATAACAGTGAAAGCTAACTCCATGTTTCCTGATGATATCTCCCAAGGGTAACATGTAAAGCATGAAAAGTAACGGCCCTAGTACTGAGCCTTGAGGTACTCAATACTGCACTTGTGATCGGTGTGATACCTCTTCATTCACTGCTACGAACTGATCATGGTCAGATAAGTATGATTTGAACCATGCCAATGTACTTTGACTAATGCTAACATAATTTTCTAGTCTATTCAAAAGAATGTTGTGGTCGATAGTGTCAAATGCAGCGCTAAGATGCAGTAGCACTGATAGTGAGATACAAGCACATTTGGATGATAAGAGCAGGTCATTTGTAACTCTAATGAGAGCAGTCTCAGTACTATGATAAGGTTTAAATCCTGACTGGAAATCCTCACCCATTTTTCTCTAAGAAGGAATATAATTGTGAGAAGATATCAGTCACTCACTCACTCAAAACTGTTCAGTCCATTCACATTTTATTTATCTATTTTCCGTGTCCACTTTTCTTTTCTTCACACTCACCATGTTTTTGCTGTCACATCGTATCTACACTGGACGCGACAAAGCATTGCAAATCATTTGAACGTTGTGTCAGTACGTTATAAATAGAACGAGTCAGCAGTTTACTGTCGGGGATTTACATCAATGATTATAATGAGTTCTATTGTATTTAATTGTGTCTAATCTATTTTTAAATAAATCAGGAGGATTACTTACAAAGAAGTATTTTGTGGTAGAAGTGATGGTTCTACCATATTTGTAACAAGTAGTTAAATTTACAGCTTTAGCTATATGGAGTACACACGAGACTAGATAATGATCTGAGATATCATCGCTCTGCTGCAGAATTTCAATTCCATTAACATAAATTCCATGTGATAGTATTAAATCTAGAGTATGATTTTGGCAATGTCAACCAATAATCTAAATCTGATAGCAAACCTTCTTTCACTAGGTGCTGGTCCTGGTGTTACTGGTATTGGTGGTGTACGAGGCGCAGGTGGACTCTTTCCTGGGACAGGGGGTGAGATAAATTCTGTGCAGTAGTGCTAAATGACAGTCACTTTATTAGAATGATTCACCACTGATAAATGTTTTGTGTTTTCCCATGTGTCAAGGTCCTGGTGCCCTCTCCTAATGAGAGCAGTCTCAATACTATGATACAGTCTAAATCCGGACTGGAAAACCTCATAGATACCATTTTTCTCTAGGAAGGAATACAGTTGTGAGGATACTACCTTTTCTAGTATCTTTGACAGAAAAGGGAGATTCGAGATCGGTCTGTAATTAACTAATTATTTTGGGTCAAGTAGTGTTTTATTTATAAGAGGAAATAACAGCAAGTTTGAAGGTATTTGCGACACATCCTAATGACAATGACAAATTTATAATAGTTAGAAGAGGGTCTATGGGAGGGTTCCTCAATTAGTTTTCGCTGAGGGCCAAATTCTGCCAACAATACCAACTTATATACAGTGTGTATATATATATATATATACATATATACTAAATATATATATATATATATATATATATATATATATATATATACAAACTTGTATGTTAAAACTGTGAACTCACTGAGAACCAACACATGTATTCCATAACAAAGATATCAGTCACTCACTCACTCAAAACTGTTCAGTCCATTCACATTTTATTTATCTATTTTCCGTGTCCACTTTTCTTTTCTTCACACTCACCATGTTTTTGCTGTCACATCGTATCTACACTGGACGCGACAAAGCATTGCAAATCATTTGAACGTTGTACACACGAGACTAGATAATGATCTGAGATATCATCGCTCTGCTGCAGAATTTCAATTCCATTAACATAAATTCCATGTGATAGTATTAAATCTAGAGTATGATTTTGGCAATGTCAACCAATAATCTAAATCTGATAGCAAACCTTCTTTCACTAGGTGCTGGTCCTGGTGTTACTGGTATTGGTGGTGTACGAGGCGCAGGTGGACTCTTTCCTGGGACAGGGGGTGAGATAAATTCTGTGCAGTAGTGCTAAATGACAGTCACTTTATTAGAATGATTCACCACTGATAAATGTTTTGTGTTTTCCCATGTGTCAAGGTCCTGGTGCCCTCTCCCCTGCTCAGGCAAAAGCTGCTAAATATGGTAAGCATGTATCCATATTTAGGATCCTTCGTATTCAGATATACCATGGTTCTAATTTCTGCTTCTGGGGGGCCACTGTCCTGCAGAGTTTCAATCCAGGTACTGTAGATTAAACCCCAATCAAACACACCCAAACAAGCAGTCAATGTCTTTACGATTGCTAGAAAAGTACAGGCAAGGTTGGAACTAAACTCTGCAGGACAGTGGTTAGTTAGACAGTAGTCCAGGAGCAGGAATAAAGAACCATGACATATAGCATTGGAAATGTCAAACTGAGAGATCATGGCCCTGCCTTGTTCTAGGTGCAGGAGTAGTTCCTGGTGGAGCTGGGATTGGTCCTGGTGGTGCTGGGATTGTGCCAGGAGCTGGAGGGGTTTATCCTGCAACGGGAGGTTAAAAAAACTGTCTATACAAAATATCTAGAAGAACATTAAAAATATTATAATGATCATAAAGTCTAAAAAAAAAGTCTCCCATTTCTTTTTTCTAAGGTCTTACTCCCGCTCAAGCCAAAGCAGCTAAATATTCCCAACATTTCGGTGGGGCAGCTGGAACTGGTGTTGGAGGACTGTACCCTGGAGCTGGAGGTGAGTGAGAACAAACAATCAAATCACTTCTTTAGGCACTTAGAAGCCACTGCACAAAATATCCATAGCCACGTTTCCACTGTCGGGCCAAAAGCGAGCGTGCTAGTGTGTGCCAGGGCCAGTCGCATTTCCACTGTTACTTCCGGGGCTTGATCATGCCTCATCGGGGCCAACGCCCAGGGTTTTTTGGCCCGCCAAATACCTTGGGCCAAAGCGGGCCAACTGGGGCTTGAGGCGTGGTCAAGGTGAAAGGCGGAGTTTATCTCCGGTAAGCGAGTAGTCAGGTAAGAGTGTCTGCGGCAAGATGCGCATTTCGCTGTATTACGTCGTGCAAAGAACTCGAACTAAACTGAAAATGGAGAATCGCCAGTACTGGTCTGTGGAAGATACCAGGGCTCTTCTAAGCATTTGGGCAGAGGACAATGTACAATGCCAGTTTGATGGCGTCTGCAGGACCGAAGATGTAATAAAATACATCATTGCTGAACTCGCAAAGCTAAGTATCCAGCGCACTATGATGCAAGTTCAAGATAAGTTAAAGAAATTGGGGGTGCAGTATAAAGCCATAAAAACACACAATGGACAAAGCGGTGCCCAGAGAAGGTCCTTTCCGTGATTTGACATTATGGACGGTGTGCTGGGTCACCGTCCCTCCATTAGTGGAGAGACCACTCGGGATACTATGGCAGCTACAACAGTCGGTGAGTTAATTTACCTTGCTAGCAACCCAACGTAACATGCAAAACAGATCAAATATTGCTAGTGACTGACATGCATGTGTACTTATTTATGTATTATTTTTTATTTTTTTTTGTGTTAGAATTGGAATCTCAGAGCGATTTCTTGGAGTCTGAAGTTGAGCAAGGACCGTCAATACCTTCGCTGCTAACATCTATACCTGGTATGCTACTATAAACAGATTCCACCAAAGAATTATTGCATATTTGTATGTTTGTTGTCAGTAAATAATTATGCCTAAATGTATGTTTATTTCAAAGACACGACAGTCCCCAAGACATTACAGTAATCAGAGGGGGATCACATCACATTCCACAAAGGACCAGACCAGGTAATTTGGAGTGTAATGTACCTGTTAAATAGATGGATCAAACCTTACAGATCTCACAATATCTGAATTCAGAGTACATCCCAGATGTGGAGCTTATTGTTCATGTATTTTTTTTTTCTGTTTGCGCGACATAACACCGCAACAGCTGGAAGAAGAGCTTGAGTTAAGAAGAGAAGAAATGAACAAAGAAATTATGATGAGAAGAGAGGAGCTGGATTTTGAGGCACAACTCAGACGGGAAGAGATGTCTCAGAGAAAGAAGGAAGCTGAGGCTTTTGCTTCGGTCTTCACAAATTTGGCAACAGCTCTTCTCCAGAGAAAGTAGATGGACACTACAGCTTTTCTGTTTGCTTTAAAGCACACTGTCTTAGTTTCTTATTTTTAAATAATTTTAGTTTATTATTATCTGTTTATAAATAGTATGTTTCACAAACACCTGTTTGTTGTGTATACACATTTTCAGAGCACACTTGTATTTGTTCACTGATACACATTTAATATATAAATAAAGTTATAACTTTGCTGTTTTACTGGAGGCTATTGGAAGTTAATGCATAATGCCGAGTTCACACTGCACGATTTTAGCCCGATTTTTCACTCACCCACAGGTTTTGCCCGAAATCGAAGGCAAATCAGTGCTCGTTCACATGAGTGACAATCACGCAGTGTGAATTATCAAAGACGCGATCTGAGGGAATCGCCGACACGTCGCCGACGCCTGTGAAATATTTGGCATGCTAAATATCTGGAGCTGTCGACGATTCACAATCACGCTGTGTGAAATTAGTTCTGACTGAAAAACACATCGGCGATGACCTACAGCCAATGAGAGACCAAGATACAGGGCAGCGGGAAGTTCGGGGAGGGGTTATATGAAACATAGTTTGTGGACCAGTGTTGCCAAATCCATAATTGCCGCTGGTTGTTTTTTATGTCAGCAGGTTGAAGCGACCCCAATAACGTGATATTTAGGCCCTGGAATGTGAATTGTACCTGGAGAACCCCGCCAAAAAAAAATTTATTTTACCCCCTGAACGTGATTTTTACTGGGGGACCCCTCGAAAGCAATTGGGCTATTTTAAGGCTAGTTTTGAGTAGTAATTGGGCGGGTTTTGTAGCGAAAACCTGGCAACCCTGCACCAGACAGAGCTGTCGGCATATTAATGTTAATGTATTAATATTAATGTTACTTAATAAAAATAGTCATTCATTTTTGTTAGTCCATGTCAGTTCACGGTGCACTTACTCATGTCAGAACATAAAGCTTTTGATTTTAATAACTAGCAAATGCCAATATGATAAAAGTAAAAGTGAGTGCACAAAAATCTAAAAGACTTTGTGTCTCAAATTTACAAACTGTTAATTCATTGCTATTCAAAAAAGGTCCTATTCAAATAGAATCACTTATACTATCACGCAGATATTGATATGGACAATTATGCTTTTTTGATAAGCACATTACTTACATGGGTATCTGATGGGCACCTTTTGTTTCCTGTGTAAATCAGGTCCTATTCAGTAAGAGTGATTATTTACACTATCAGCTATTGTTAAAGACAACTACGCATAGTGATGGGAACATTATTTAAATGCATGTCTGATGAGTACCTTTTGTCTTTTCTTATTTAAATTTGGTCATACTCAAATAAAGTTCTATATAAACTGCTTTACATCATCAAAAAAAAAACACTAACCGACAAACCTTAATAACATGTTAACGCACACATTTGTACCTAAAATAAAACTTTACAGTATAAAATAGGAAAAATAGTGTGTAATAATAAAAAAGGACAACAGTAAATGCTCAATTTCTGTTAAAGTCAGTTCATCATTGATTCAGTGATCGTCCAGCTCAGTTCAGTTTAAAAAGTATGTGCAATCAAGTTGACAATTTCGCTGGAAGTTAAGTGTCCCAAACTAAGCAAGCCAGAGGCGCGTGAATCTAGATTTAAACTGACAGACTGTGTCTGCCTCCCGAACAATGTTTGGTAGATTGTCCCCGAGTGTGGGCACTAAATAGGAGAAGGATCTATATTCTCCTATTTGTTGATTTTTATATTCTAGGTATTATCAAATGTCCAGAGTATTGAGAACACAGCGGATGTGAAGGACTATAGTGCGATAAGAGCTCACTCAAGTACTGAGGAGCTAAACCATTCAGGGCTTTATAAGTAATTAGCAAGATTTTGAAATGTACACAATGTTTAATAGGGAGCCAGTGCAGAGTTGACAGAACCGGGCTAATATGGTCATACTTCCTGGTTCTAGTAAGAACTCTAGCTGCTGCATTTTGGACCAGCTGGAGTTTATTTATTAAGCACTCAGAAAAACCACCCATAAAGCATTACAATAATCTAACCTTGAGGTCATGAACACATAAATTAACGATTCTGCATTTGACATTGAGAGCATAGGTCGTAATTTAGATATACTTTTGAGATAGAAAAATTTGGTTTTACAAATGCTAAAAACATGGCTTTTGAAGGAAATATTGTTATCAAATAGCACACCTAGGTTCCTAAGTGATTATGAAGAATTAACAGAGCAGCCATCAAGTGTTAACAGTATTCTAGGACATTACATGCGGGGTTTTTGGCCCGATAATTTATTTTTTCAGAATTTAGCAGTAAGAAATTACTAGTCATCCAGTTTTTTATATCAACTATGCATTCTGTTAGTTTTGTAAATTGATATGTTTTGTCAGGCCACGAAGAAATATACAGCTGAGTATCATCAGCATAACAGTGAAAGCTAACTCCATGTTTCCTGATGATATCTCCCAAGGGTAACATGTAAAGCATGAAAAGTAACGGTCCTAGTACTGAGCCTTGAGGTACTCAATACTGCACTTGTGATCGGTGTGATACCTCTTCATTCACTGCTACGAACTGATCATGGTCAGATAATATGATTTGAACCATGCCAATGTACTTTGACTAATGCTAACATAATTTTCTAGTCTATTCAAAAGAATGTTGTGGTCGAAAACCTCATAGATACCATTTTTCTCTAGGAAGGAATACAGTTGTGAGGATACTACCTTTTCTAGTATCTTTGACAGAAAAGGGAGATTCGAGATCGGTCTGTAATTACCTAATTATTTTGGGTCAAGTAGTGTTTTATTTATAAGAGGAAATAACAGCAAGTTTGAAGGTATTTGCGACACATCCTAATGACAATGACAAATTTATAATAGTAAATCAATTACTCAATTAGTTTCGCTGAGGGCCGAATTCTGCCAACAATACCAAGCCAAGGGCCACTGACCTATGTGTATATATATATATAATTGTTATTATTATTACCATTATTATATTATTGTTGCTTTTGTTAAAATAATAAAAAAAAATTCCCCAGTAGTCTGTTTTATTCAAACAATTATGAACTTTTTGCATTTAGATAGAGAAGAACTTTGCCTGTTGAATATTAAAAACAAATGAACAAACAAAAAATCTGGATCTCCATGTCTGCCATGCAAATCAGCTGTTCCTGCTCATCTCCAGCCTGGATCTCTTCTCTCCACTTTCCCTAATTGCAGATTCAATTATTAGATTTGTCATTATTAATATTGTTATGCTTAGATTTTTGGGGGGGGATCAAACTGTAGCACCGTGTGTCCCAACCAGACCAGACACGATAAAAAAGTATAAGCAACATGGAATTCTTTTTTAGGAACGTTTTTTATTTTCTGCGACGCCTCAGCAGGAACAACATACAAAATATGACAGTGATAATCTCAGGTAATGATTATGTGCATTATTCAATGTTAAAAGTGTCTAATGTGAGTTTGAATGTTATTTTGCATTTTATTTATAGCCATAGTGAAAGCAACAATAGATATTTTACCTCAGATCTTGAAAATAAATTAAAGCAAACTTGTACGTTAAAACTGTAAGCACATGTATTCCATAACAAAGATATCAGTCACTCACTCACTCAAAACTGTTCAGTCCATTCACATTTTATTTATCTATTTTCCGTGTCCACTTTTCTTTTCTTCACACTCACCATGTTTTTGCTGTCACATCGTATCTACACTGGACGCGACAAAGCATTGCAAATCATTTGAACGTTGTGTCAGTACGTTATAAATAGAACGAGTCAGCAGTTTACTGTCGGGGATTTACATCAATGATTATAACGAGTTCTATTGTATTTAATTGTGTCTCACCGCGCTGCTCGCGTCCAGTGTAGACACAATGTAAGTTAATGTAGCTTTCTGAAGCTGCATTTGAATTTTCATGTCACATTATTTTAAATTAGCACGGGCCAAACATTTTTCTCTCACGGGCCGGATGTGACCCGCGGTTTATATTATTTAAAAAATGTTGTCCATCAATGGAGACAATCAGTAGGCTAATTTCTAATGAAGAGACCAATTTATATGACAGATTTTAATGTAGGCTTTTATACATATGTAAACATTATTTAATTACCATTATAACTAGCTATCTCACAAGTTTTTGCTCACTCAGTGTTTTTTAAAATTATTTTACAGTGGGGTAATGTTGGTGCAGTAGCACGAGATAGCTTGATTTCAAACTTTGAACTGAATAAAAAATGACAAGTATAATGTTTAGTCCTAGAAAGCTATTATTATCAGAACATGTGAGCATAACATAACGGCTAGCAGATCAATGAATGAGAGGGCAGAGTTGCCCATATACCACACCATGTTACACACAGTAGGGCTATTGCAGACAGAAACAATACTGTACTGCATCGATGTTTCCTGTCGGCTCAATTTTTGAGCGGACTTTGCTGTTCCGATTCGCATGAACGGTATACGAGTGGACCGACTGAGCGGAGCACACACACGCATAGAGCGGGATAATAGATACGCAGAGCATCACACCACGTGAAAGGGAAACCTGAGCGGTGAACTAATTTCAGCCGAAATTTCGGTGCATCTCTAATTATTGGCAACATCAGAAATGGATATTATATAATAGATGCTTTTTTGAACATTTTAGCAATTTAAAAATATTAAAAAAGGATTTTTTTACATGGCACCCCTGCTCTCGACAGATGGCACCCCAGGGTCAAAATAAACGCCTGGGGTTGTGTTTGTTTTCTTTTAACATCTAGCAGTTTTTAATGTTTTTCTGTAGGAGAAGGTACCTTCCCGCCATGCAATGCTGAGGAATTTAGATAAGTCAGGAAGATTACTTACAAAGAAGTCTTTAGTGGTAGAAGTGATGGTTCTACCATATTTGTATATATGCCGCGGCACCCCAGTTGGGAAACACTGATTTAGATGATTTAACAAGTTTATACAATTCTTTCTCTCCTATTGTAGAGAATGAGTGGAATTGTTCCTCAGGGGATCTATGGTGCCCTGTCTGATACAATACTGTAGCTGATGGCTGCATGGTTACAATTTTATCTAAAATAGTATCAATCTTGGAAGTAAAGTAGTTCATAAAGTCATTACTGCTATGCTGTTGAGAATTGTCAATGCCTGTTGATGCTTTATTTTTCTTAAATGATTTTCTTTATTGAATAAAGGCCCGGAGTTGTGTTTGTTTTCTTTTAACAACTATCTAGCCGTTTTTAATGTGTTTCTGTAGGAGAAGGTACCTTCCCGCCATGCAATTCGAAATACCTCTAGTTTTGCTTTCTTCCAGCTGAGCTCCATTTTCCGCACTGCTCTCTTTAGGGTGCAAGTGTGCTTGTTATACCACAGTGTCGGACTGTTTTTCTTAATCTTCCTTAAGCGTAAAGGAGCAACCATATGCTCTTTTCTAAAGTGCTAGAAAAGAGAGAGTCCATAGTTTCTGTTACATCATCAAGATTTTCTGAGCTATTGGATATGCTGAGGAATTTAGATAAGTCAGGAAGATTACTTACAAAGAAGTATTTTGTGGTAGAAGTGATGGTTCTACCATATTTGTAACAAGTAGTTAAATTTACAGCTTTAGCTATATGGAGTACACACGAGACTAGATAATGATCTGAGATATCATCGCTCTGCTGCAGAATTTCAATGCCATTAATATAAATTCCATGTGATAGTATTAAATCTAGAGTATGATTTTGACAATGTCAACCAATAATCTAAATCTGATAGCAAACCTTCTTTCACTAGGTGCTGGTCCTGGTGTTACTGGTATTGGTGGTGTACGAGGCGCAGGTGGACTCTTTCCTGGGACAGGGGGTGAGATAAATTCTGTGCAGTAGTGCTAAATGACAGTCACTTTATTAGAATGATTCACCACTGATAAATGTTTTGTGTTTTCCCATGTGTCAAGGTCCTGGTGCCCTCTCCCCTGCTCAGGCAAAAGCTGCTAAATATGGTAAGCATGTATCCATATTTAGGATCCTTCGTATTCAGATATACCATGGTTCTAATTTCTGCTTCTGGGGGGCCACTGTCCTGCAGAGTTTCAATCCAGGTACTGTAGCTTAAACCCCAATCAAACACACCCAAACAAGCAGTCAATGTCTTTACGATTGCTATAAAACTACAGGCAAGGTTAGAACTAAACTCTGTAGGACAGTGGTCCTCCAGGAGCAGGAATAAAGAACCATGACATAAAGCATTGGAAATGTCAAACTGAGAGATCATGGCCCTGCCTTGTTCTAGGTGCAGGAGTAGTTCCTGGTGGAGCTGGGATTGGTCCTGGTGGTGCTGGGATTGTGCCAGGAGCTGGAGGGGTTTATCCTGCAACGGGAGGTTAAAAAAAACTGTCTATACAAAATATCTAGAAGAACATTAAAACATTATAATGATCATGGAGTCTCAAAACCATTTCTTTTTTCTAAGGTCTTACTCCTGCTCAAGCCAAAGCAGCTAAATATTCCCAACATTTCGGTGGGGCAGCTGGAACTGGTGTTGGAGGACTGTACCCTGGAGCTGGAGGTGAGTGAGAACAAACAATCAAATCACTTCTTGAGGCACTTAGAAGCCACTGCACAAAATATCCATAGCCACGTTTCCACTGTCGGGCCAAAAGCGAGCGTGCTAGTGTGTGCCAGGGCCAGTCGCATTTCCACTGTTACTTCCGGGGCTTGATCATGCCTCATCGGGGCTTCCTCGGGGCCAACGCCCAGGGTTTTTTGGTCCGCCAAATACCTTGGGCCAAAGCGGGCCAACTGGGGCTTGAGGCGGGGGTAAGGTGAAAGGCAGAGTTTATCTCCGGTAAGCGAGTAGTCAGGTAAGAGTGTTTGCGGCAAGATGCGCATTTCGCTGTATTACGTCGTGCAAAGAGCTCGAACTAAACTGAAAATGGAGAATTGCCAGTACTGGTCTGTGGAAGATACCAGGGCTCTTCTAAGCATTTGGGCAGAGGACAATGTACAATGCCAGTTTGATGGCGTCTGCAGGACCGAAGATGTAATAAAATACATCATTGCTGAACTCGCAAAGCTAAGTATCCAGCGCACTATGATGCAAGTTCAAGATAAGTTAAAGAAATTGGGGGTGCAGTATAAAGCCATAAAAACACACAATGGACAAAGCGGTGCCCAGAGAAGGTCCTTTCCGTGATATGACATTATGGACAATGACTTAGTTTCTTATTTTTTTATTATTTTTATTTATTATTATCTGTTTATAAATAGTATGTTTCACAAACACCTGTTTGTTGTGTATACACATTTTCAAAGCACGCTTGTATTTGTTCACTGATACACATTTAATATATAAACAAAGTTATAACTTTGCTGTTTTACTGGAGGCTATTGGAAGTTATTGCATAATGCCGAGTTCACACTGCAAGATTTTAGCCCGATTTTTCACTCGCCGACAGGTTTTGCGGAATCGCCGACAAATGCCCGAAATCAGAGGCAAATCGGTGCTCGTTCACGTGAGTGACAATCACGCAGTTTGAATTATCAAATACCTGGAGAACCCCTCCAAAAAATGTGTATTTTACCCCCGAACGTGATTTTTACTGGGGGACCCCTCGAAAGCAATTGGGCTATTTTCAGGCTAGTTTTGAGTAGTAATTGGGCGGGTTTTGTAGCGAAAATCTGGCAACCCGGCACCAGACAGAGCTGTCGGCATATTAATGTTACTTAATAAAAATAGTCATTCATTTTTGTTTGTCCATGTCAGTTCACGGTGCACTTACTCATGTCAGAACATAAAGCTGTCTGTGGCCCAAGTCCAAAGGCATGACTTTCTGAGGATGCTAGCATCATGTTCCCTTCCTGGCTGTCCAGCATTCAGGTCCCAGAACATTCCTTTACCATCTACAACTGCTTGTAAAATGATGGAGTGCCAACCTTTTCTGTTGTGAAAATCAGATTGGTATTGTGGAGGTTTCAAAATAGGGACGTGAGAACCATCAATAGCACCCACGCACAGTGGAATTCCAAACCTCTTCTCAAAATAATCTGCCATCGCAGACAGTTGGGCTTGATCAGGTGTTTTGATCAATTTTGGGCGAAGTATTGCAATCACAGCCTTGCAAAAGTCATGCACACAGTGGCAAGCAGAGTTCAGACTGACAGCAAACAGGTTAGTGACTGTCCTGTACTCCGTGGTTGAAGCAAGTTTATACAATGCAATGGCTACCTGTTTCTCCAGAGGAATGCATAACCGGTATGATGTGTCTTGTCGCTGTAGTGCAGGCCTCAGAGTTGTACAAATGTTTTTGAATGTTTCACTGTAAACTCTGAAGTCCTCTAGCCACTGCTCATCTGTGAATCTTTGAGCCACATACCCCCACCGCCCGACTCAGGCCCTCCGGCCTGCAGAATTCCTGTCCCAGGAGATAATAGCGGAGAGTGAGCACAGCCCATCTTATCGCCATGCATTCCTTTTCTATGGTGCTGTACATCGTCTCCCTCTTCGAGAGCTTACGACTGATGTACAGCACCGGTCGTTCCTCACCCTCTATCTCCTGGGACAGGACCACTCCAAGCCCCCTGTCTGACGCGTCAGTCTGCAACAAAAAAGGGAGAGAAAAGTCAGGGGAGTGAAGGAGCGGCCCGCCACACAGAGCAGCCTTTATCTGGGTGAAAGCCTGCTGGCACTGCTCCATCCACTGGACCAGATCTGGTGCTTCCTTTTTAGTGAGGTCAGTCAGCGGCTGGTGAGGTCCGAATACTTAGGTACAAACCTTCTATAATATCCCGCCAGCCCCAGGAACTGCCTCACCTCCTTTTTGGTCTTGGGTCTCGGACAGGTTGCAACTGCTGCAGTCTTATCAATTTGGGGACGCACCTGTCCGTGACCCAAGTGGAAGCCCAGATACCTGACCTCCACACGCCCAACCGCACACTTTTTCGGGTTGGCCGTTAGTCCAGCCCCTCTCAGCGATCTCAGGACAGCCCGCAGATCCTGCATATGACGCTGCCAGTCGTTACTATAGATGATAATGTCATCTAAATAGGCAGCGGCATATGCAGTCTGCGGTCGGAGTATCCGGTCCATGAGCCGCTGAAAGGTGGCCGGAGCCCCGAACAACCCAAAAGGAAGAGTAACAAATTGGTGTAATCCAAACGGCATTGTGAAAGCGGTCTTTTCTTTGGATATAGGTGATAAGGGGATCTGCCAATATCGTTTTGTTAAATCCAGTGTCGAGTAAAATCGAGCAGAACCCAGCCGATCAAGCAATTCGTCAAGCCCGCGACATTGGATACACTTCAAATTTCGACACAGCATTCACCTTGCGATAATCCACACAGAACCGGACCGAACCATCCGTTTTAGGCACTAAAACTATCGGGCTCACCCAATCACTGTTGGATTCCTCTATTACTCCCATATCTAGCATCGCCTCTAATTCAGTCTGAACTACTTTTTTTTGTGTTCAGGCAAACAATACGGCGGCTGCGCACTACCACACCCGGCTCAGTCTCAATGTGATGCTGAATGAGGTTTGTGCGACCAGGCAGGGGCGAGAACACATCTGCAAACTCTGCTTGCACCTTGGCCACGTCAGTGAGTTGGGAGGGCGAGAGGTGATCTCCTCCTGGGGCCAGAGCTCCAGGGGAAAATCATCACACTCTGTAAGGTTTCTCCTCTCAACAGCCCTCTGTTCCCCTGTCTCAGTTCCCATTGGTCTCCACTCAGCTTCTCCTACCTGTGCGACTGCCCCCCTTCCCCGCTCTCCTTTCCCCCAAGAGACATCCGCACATAAATGCCCCAATAATACACTAAAACCTGGCCAATTTGTTCCCAAAATTAGCAGATGTCTGAGGTGCGGGCTAACTGCAACCTCTACCCTATGCTTTTGTCCCCGAAAATTTGAATAGCCACCGACATTAAGGGGTAGTTCACCACATCCCAGTGCACGCACCGAACCTTAACCACGCGGCTCTTATCCAATGCCTCCGGCTGAATCAGGCTTTGAAGAGAGAGAGCCAGATGGCAGTGGTTCGCCGACCCCGGGGCATGCCACCATCTGGTCCTCCGCCAGTTGGATGGCCTGTTTCAGCGACGTCGGGCGGTGCCACTGGACCCACTGGGCAGTCTTCCTCGGCAGCCGAACCACGAACTGCTCCAGTACCACTTTATCAATTACTTCCTCAACGTCGCTTTTCTCTGCCATCAGCAATCTGCGGCAGGCGTCCCGGAGCTGTTGCGCCATCACGAAGAGTCGGCCACACTCTCCGAGGTCCAGCGACCTGAAGCGCTGGCGGTGCTGCTCAGGACTCAGGCCGACCCACTGGAGGATGGCGTGCTTAAGGTCTTTGTAGACCAGGAGGTTCTGGACTGGCAGCTGTTGTGCGGCCACCTGCGCTTCTCCAGACAGCAGGGGGATGAGCCGCACTGGCCAGTCCTCTTGCGGCCACCCACATGCCTCAGCCGACCTCTCGAACAGGTCTATGAACACCTCAGGGTCGTCCTGGGGACCCATCTTATTGAGAGGCACGTGAGTGGGCGGTGCTGGGCCTCCCGGTCAATCCAGCTCCGGAACAGCTCGCGGTCTTCCTGCTGGACTTGGATGAGTGCTCGGAAATGCCGTTCCTGATCGTCCCTCATGCCCAGCAGTGCCTGATGATGTTCCTGGTGAAGACCCGTGAGTGATTGGATGACCTCCGCAAATGGCGATCCTGACGGAGACTGCATGACGACGGCGGCGTTCTTCTTCCTTCCCGGGTTTCGGCACCAGTGTGATGTAGTTCAAAGGGTGGAAGGAAGAAGACAGGGTCGGCGTGACTGGGACTCGTGCTTTATTTGAGGCTCTCTGGCACAAACAAAAGAAGTGGCGCCCACTGTGCTTCCAATCACTTATTAAATAACTCAGAATATAAATCTGCATACAATTCCGGCTCCCGCAACCAGTCTCCCTGTGTGGCTCGAGTTCCCAGTCAGTCTCTCTCTCTCGTTTCCCGATACTGGTGGCTTTTATCCGGTCTCTCCACACCAATTACTGAAACGAGACACAGGTGTTTATCATTTGCACTTGACCTACTTACGCATCGCTCGTCTCCTGCCTCTCTCTCCTGTTGCAGACCTCGCTGAACCACGCCCCCCTCGCCACAGTATGCTTTACTGCCCTAATTATCATAAAGATCTATATTAACATAAATGTTTAAACATATATGTATAAACAGATGTACTATCCGAAGAATAGTTCAATGAATGGCTAACATTACTTCTCTAATTATGTGATGTCATGCTAGCAAAACATCTGTTTTTGAGCAGTAAAGTGCTTAAGCTTACGTTAAAGAACAATAATCAAAACAACTCCGTATGTTACTTATATCTCATAGGGCTAAGTTATATGTTATCAGGTTAGGGTCGCACCAAATATAAGATAACAATAATTAACTATATTTTGTAATTGAACAACATTTACCATTTCCATGGCTGAGCCTCCATCTTCGCATCTTGACTTCGCTGCCTCATCTTCGACCAAGAAAACACCTAAAGGAGCAAACAAACAGCTGCTTCGGTTCTCTCCATGTTGTTCATTCGATGATGACACTATAGTGCCCTACCTGAATAACTTGCATTCTACCCACTGAAAGGGGAGGGGTTTTGGGACGTTTGATCCAAGGAGGTGTGTAAAGGCTTTAGGTTTGCGCTGCGGGGCTACTGACTCGACAGTGGAAACACAGCTTGCTTTTGGCCTTGGTGCTTGCGGCTCGAGGCCATTGGCCCCGCCCGGCACACTGTTAGCCCTGGCTCACACTGACCCGACAGTGGAAAAGAGGCTCATGAGTACAACTGTGCACTGTGCTTTGTCTTCATATTTCAGATGCATCTGATTTCACATGTACAGGTGCATCTCAATAAATCAGAATGTAATGGAAAAGTTCATTTATTTCAGTAATTCAACTCAAACTGTGAAACTCGTGTATTAAATAAATTCAATGCACACAGACCGAAGTAGTTTAAGTCTTTGGTTCTTTTAATTGTGATTATTTTGGCTCACATTTAACAAAAACCCACCAATTCACTATCTCAGCAAATTAGAATACTTCATAAGACCAATAAAAAACATTTATAGTGAATTGTTGGCATTCTGGAAAATATGTTCATTTACTGTACATGTACTCAATAATTGGTAGGGGCTCCTTTTGCTTTAATTACTGCCTCAATTCGAGCAAGAGGGGCCGGTGTTGTCCCAGGCTACGGTTCTGTTGCTGGGTTCGGAGGAGTTCCTGGAGCTGTCCCTGGGGCTGGAGGTCTGAATATGTTCAACTGTCTCTCAATTTCTCACAACTGTTGTTTGTCAGTTAAGCTAAGTTTGTTTCTCATTATAGTTTATTTTGGGTTGATGTTTAGTAATAGTGATAAATGTTTATAGGGTTAGGAGCTGGAGCCAAACCTTCTAAATATGGTATGGGTCTGACTATTTTCTATGATTTAGGTGCATTGGTAATACTATGTAAGATAAATCCAATTGTTTGTGCTTTTTATTTTGCCATTTGCACTGGAATTTTGTAATAGAGCTTTGTGTTAACATTATAACAAAAAAATTTGACTTGTTAAGCTGTACTTAAATAAAGGATTGTTGGTAGGGTATTGTCCAGTCAAAAATTAAGCTATTGTGGCCTCAGGAGTGCATTGAAGCAAAGCAGGTGTTGAGCCTGGTTAGTACCTGGATGGGAGACCTCCTGGGAAAACTAGGTTGCTGCTGGAAGAGGTGTTAGTGAGGCCAGCAGGGGGTGCTCACCCTGTGGTCTGTGTGGGTCCTCACGCCCCAGTGTAGTGATGGGGACACTATACTGTCAAAAAGCACCGTCCTTCGGATGAGACATTAAACCGAGGTCCTTACTCTCTGTGGTCGTTAAAAATCCCATGGCACATCTGGTAAACAGTAGGGGTGTAACCCCGGTGTCCTGGCCAAATTGCCCCCCTGGCCTTTGTCAATCATGGCCTCAATTATAGACTTGAGATTTGGAAATGGTTTATCAATAAATTTTCTTTTATAAAATTTTCGTTTACTAACATTTTCCAATACATATTTTTTAGTTTGCCAGTTAGAGAATGAACCTCTTTTGAAGAGTCCGTGACTGTTTAAAATATGAAATCAGATAATTTTGCTGAACATGTTTTCATTTTCACTCTTGTCTACTTTTATCAAAACATGTGGCACTTTAATGCCCTGCAACGTTTAATGGTATTCCATTGCTCCAGAATATACAAGTTATGATAACATGTCCTTCCTTGTGTCATTGTTGTCATCAGGTTTGGGTGGAGCTGGTGGAGTCCCAGGTGGAGTTGGAATAGGAACTGGATATGGAGGTACAATATTACATTTCCAAATATACAGCCAGTACACTACAACATTAACCCTGATGAGACAACATGATGTGCTGTAATTCTTGCTGTGTTCTAAACTTGCTCAGAAATATACAAGTTAGTAGCTATGCAGCCGAGCCTTGACTTGATGCAGACAGAGAATGGTATACCATGTAGTGAGACGAGGTGTAACATGCAGTCTCTCTCTCTTTGGTTCACTGAACTTCAAATGCACCGCTGCATAGGAAGGGTAGGATCTTCAGATAGGAAGGGTCTGATCTTCCTTTAGTAGTAAAGCTACCTCATATTGTTGATGAGCCTAGATGAATAATGATGGTGTTGCACTGGACTTGCCAGGAAGACCAGAAGCTCAGTCTTCAGCTGGAGTTGGTGTAGTTGGAGCACTAGTTGGAGATGGTGTAGTTGAATCCAGGCTGAGGCAAGTAAAGATGCAGTCACTTTGTGATCATAAGACTGCATGTCTGTATGTTATGAGGAAATCAGTGGAAGAAAAAAATCTACCTGCATGATAGGTGCCAGAGTAGTTGTGTATATCAAGAAGTGGAGGGGGCCAAGAACTAGACCCTGAGGTACACCAGTAGTTAACTGATGAGACTAAGAAACCCCTTCACTCTAAGGTATTCTGAAAAGAAAAACATATGAGGTACAATAGAACTCAAACCAGCAGAGTTCAATTCCCATGATATCCAGACAGTAGCGAGGAACTGGTCCCAGACAGGTCCAGCAGAAAGAAGTGGATGGTTTCTCGCCAGTCACAGAATGATGGATAGATTTTCTCAGATGTGTATTTGTATAGATGACATGTTAGACATGTTAATTCTTTTAAACCTCCTTTTGAAATTTTGGATTAAAATGCATGGACCTCAGCATGTGTGTGTTTTTTTTTGTTTTTTTTTGCTCAACTTCATATTTTTGTGTTTAAGGATACCCTGCTGGTGCCAAGGCTCTAAAATATGGTATTTGTATTCATTGATTATATATAGATATATCGATATAAGCAAGATATATATAAGCTAGATCTTAGTAACATTGAATGTACTGCTCTAAATAAAAATTATTTGTCTAGGTTTGGGTGCTGGTGGTGGTTTACCAGGTGGGACTGGTGTTGTGCCTGGAATAGGTAAGCAAAAATGCCTTTCAATGAGCAGAGCTATAATGACTATAACAGCTCTTTATATTGTGAGTAAATATGCTAATTAAAACAAAAGACATTATTGAGTTTGAATTTAGGTAATCAACAGTGTTTTCATTTAGAAACTGCTTGGATTTCTTTCTTTTTTTTCTTCAGTAATTCTTCCTGGTTTACACTGTTTTTGATTTTGCCTAGCTATGTACAAACATTTTTCTATTTAATATTTGAAGAGTCTGTTGCAACCCTAAATCAAAAAGCCTGTTAAATTACTTTCGGCTTTGAAGATATAAATCAATGTTTGTACTGTAAATATGTTCCTTGAAACAGATTGTTCTTGAATGTTTGAAAATGTTTAAAAATGTAGCTCATGTTCAATGGACTGAAACCATGACCAAGCATGTTTGTTTTATTAATATGTTGCTTTACTCAAAATAAGCTTGCTGCTGTGAAAGAACTGGCACCACTTTTTGTTTTGTAGTCTACGGGAATGGAACTGGGGCCGGACCCCTAAATAAGGTTAAAAAAAAAATGTAAAAAACGGTCCCTGATTATTAGGTTCAGCTGTAACAAATGAACCTCCTAAACTATACAGGTGTGCAAATCAGCACTATTTGTTTAGTTCTGTGGAATGTTTGTGATTTGTAATCAGCAAATTAGACATTAGGAATTACATAAAGTGGAAATAAGTTGAAACTGAAGCAGTATAAGCAAACTATAGTTCCGCTACAGAAGTGCAAGATGGTTTGTTGACTACCTTTGTCGGCTGACTAGTAAAAATGGGTAGACATGCAAGTTCTAAGGAGAAATTACATAGACTTGAGATTTAGTTTGCCAGTTAGAGAATGGACCTCTTTTGAAGAGTCCGTGACTGTTTAAAATATGAAATCAGAATTTTGCTGAACATGTTTTCATTTTCACTCTTGTCTACTTTTATCAAAACATGTGGCACTTTAATGCCCTGCAACGTTTAATGGTATTCCATTGCTCCAGAATATACAAGTTATGATAACATGTCCTTCCTTGTGTCATTGTTGTCATCAGGTTTGGGTGGAGCTGGTGGAGTCCCAGGTGGAGTTGGAATAGGAACTGGATATGGAGGTAAAGTATTACATTTCCAAATATACAGCCAGTACACTGCAACATTAACCCTGATGAGACAACATGATGTGCTGTAATTCTTGCTGTGTTCTAAACTTGCTCAGAAATATACAAGTTAGTAGCTATGCAGCCGAGCCTTGACTTGATGCAGACAGAGAATGGTATACCATGTAGTGAGACGAGGTGTAACATGCAGTCTCTCGCTCTTTGGTTCACTGAACTTCAAATGCACCGCTGCATAGGAAGGGTAGGATCTTCAGATAGGAAGGGTCTGATCTTCCTTTAGTAGTAAAGCTACCTCATATTGTTGATGAGCCTAGATGAATAATGATGGTGTTGCACTGGACTTGCCAGGAAGACCAGAAGCTCAGTCTTCAGCTGGAGTTGGTGTAGTTGGAGCACTAGTTGGAGATGGTGTAGTTGAATCCACCAGTAGTTAACTGATGAGACTAAGAAACCCCTTCACTCTAAGGTATTCTGAAAAGATAAAAATATGAGGTACAATAGAACTCAAACCAGCAGAGTTCAATTCCCATGATATCCAGACAGTAGCGAGGAACTGGTCCCAGACAGGTCCAGCAGAAAGAAGTGGATGATTTCTCGCCAGTCACAGAATGATGGATAGATTTTCTCAGATGTGTATTTGTATAGATGCTTTTTTTACCCAAAGTAAAAGCAGATTTCATATTTTCACAGGATATGGGACTGGGGCAAAACCACCTAAATATGGTAATTATTTTTCATTTTTATAGCAAATAGGAGTTTCAATATACTACAGAAATTCTCTTAACCAGGGGTCTCCAATCCTGCTTCTGGAGAGCTAATTTCCTGTTGACTTCAGTTCCAGCCCTGCTCCAACAAACCTGCCAGTTATTTTCCAATAATCCTGAACACCCTGATTAACTAGTTAAGGCGTGTTTGGTTGGCACTAACCTCTTGCCTACCCCTGCTCTAAACTGAAATAAATGTTGGCATGAAATGAAAATTAGTTTTTATAAATGCAAGTTATAGACTTATTATGAATGATTGACATTCTCAAATTGAAAATAAAATTTATTACATTTTTAATCAAAATGTCATAACTCAAATCCAGACCCACCAATCTGAAAATATTTTTATGTCTTCGTTAATGAAAAACTGATTCTGATCATCATCTCACTAGGAGAGAGTTCCATGAACTGAACTGAATGTGTCAGATAAAAAAAAGATATACAAAATATTTAGACCAATAGGTTCCTAGGACCAGGATTTTTTCTAGCGACGTATGCACGATTTCTTGTAAACTCCACTCCTGCAAGCTCACACTCATCTCTTTCATCTTTCTTTTGAGAGCCACGCTCACAAATCAACATCCAATCAACAACCAAGGCACATAACCAAACCATGCTCTATTTTATTATAGTCCACTACACTTGAATGTGCATTATGGAAATACAGATCTGTCACTATTTCTGTTTCATCGTGATTTTAATGACAAATCTCATCCATGGGCAGGTGTTCCCGGTGGAGTACCCGGTGGAGTACCAGGTGGAGTACCAGGTGGAGTACCTGGAGGTGTACCTGGAGGTATTTTTATTATATATACAGCCATTTATTCAAGACATTAAAATTACAGTTCACTTGTGCTTAAATCCTAAAAGTCTTAAATTTAAAAAATTTAAATTTGACTAAATTCTCATAACAATTAAGCAGTCATTATGAATCATAAATTGTGAACTAAAAGATTCATTCTCTAAAATGAATTTATGGTTTTGCAGGGTATCCAGCAGGAGTTAAACCTCCGAAATATGGTGAGAGAACATTTTGTAGGTATTTTAAGATTTTATATTTAGGTTTTTTTATACTTATTAAATGTTTACACCAAAACAAATGAATAGCACTTTTGAAAAACGTCTGAAATCATATTCACTCGAGGTGTACAGGCTACTCATGATATAAATATATGAGTAGTTTAGGACACAGCCTATTTGGAGTAAATACAATTTTTTTTTAACTTATTTATTTCATATTAAAGAAGTATGTAAGTAACCATTCATGAAAATATACCCCAATTACATAATGCCAATATCTTTATTACAGTATTTTTATGAACTTCAATACATAAATTTGATTATAGAAAAAAATAAAACATTTGTTTGTTGACCAGCAAAATTATGAACATTTAATAGAAATTACTGACCATTCTTTTGATTACAATAAAATTACGATAACACTTTAGATTAGGGAACATAATTATCTAACTAGTTGCTTAGTAGCATGCCTATTACTTGCATATTGACTGTTTATTAGTTGCTATAAAGCACATATTAATGCATGTCCATATTCTAGATCCCTTAACCCTACCCCATACCTAAACATAACTATTACAACAACTACATTACTTACTCCCAATAAGCAGCAAATTAAAAGTTTATTGAGGGAAAACTCTTAATATTTAATAGTGAATATGTGTCCCCTAATCTAAAGTGTTACCAAAATTACTAGTCATAGCAGCTGCCTGTACATTTTTTCAAAAGAATCATAATAAACTGTAGTAAAGTAGATGTTAGCGCAAACTATGTGGTAATGATATGAATGGTGACATGGGTTGCCTGCAGGAGGTGCAGGTACAGTACCTGGTGCAGCAGGAGCGCCACTGCCTGGAACTGGGACGGGACTGACACCAGGAGCCGGGGTTGGAGGTACTTGATTCAACTGACCCATGATCAGGTCACTATCAATGTGAGATAATAATCACCAGCAATCAATAAGACTCATTTTAATGTTTTCAGGATATCCTGGTGGAGTCAAACCTCCTAAAACTGGTACAGTAGTTCATATATTAGCTTCATATATTTCTTAACAAGCTGCTTCATTTAAACCTGTGTTTACCTGCCTTTTAATGAGGTAATGCAGCCTAATGGATTCCACTGATGCACTTCTTCTCATTGTCTGCTAGGCGCTGGGATCACTGGAACTGGAATAGCAGCTCCTGGAGCAACACCTGGTGGTGATGTGGTGGTCGTACCGGGTGGCACAGGCATCGGTGTTCCTGGAGGTACTGGTCTGCCCTTTGCACCAAGTGGAAAACCAGGTACAACAAATAGGCTTAGTCCACCAAATGCCATGAAGCACATAGTATGTCATGCTTGATTTGAACTAATGTGTTTGTTCCACAGCAAAGCTTCCAACGCTGGCTCCTGCAGGGACTGCTGTACCGGGTAAATACAAAACTGATTCTGTTTGATAAATGAGCAATCTCTATGCACTCGTAATTACATTTCAGTTTGTTGCCATAGAAAGAAAGTAGTAGCTCATTCAAATAATGTACAGATTTTTGCAAAAATTCTGCAAACAGTTACAGTACAGGCAAATAATGGTGATTGAATTGGGGTCAGAAATACAGTTATTTCAAAATGAAGCATATCCATTATTTCATAGACTAAACCTTTAATTAAAGAAAGAATACACATTTACTCAATAGCATCCCCTTAAAGTGTGCCTTATACAAAATGTTACATATGTAACCCTGGTTCCCTGAGTAGGGAACAAGATGCTGCATCATGCGATAACACTATGGGGAATGCCCTCGGCATGACAGTGTCTGAAGAATGTGTGCAATCACACCATTGGCAGACGAAGAGGTCAGCTGACATAATGCACTGCATCACCTACATCATAAAAGGCCATCTCAAATATCACGTCCTCAGATTATCTGAAGGAAGATGCACGGGCCTGCCTGAAGTATGGCAATGAGACGCAGCATCTCATTCCCTACTCAGGAAATAGGAATTCAACGTTGCGTCATGAGTTGACTTTATGGGGAACTGTATACCAATTATTTCATTCTGCAAAATGGACTTGATAATCACAGACAGTTGTGTTGGAACAGGGTTGGAACTGAACTCTGCAGGTAGGCAGATCTCCAAGAACAGGATTCAGTACACCTGCCCTAGGACAATCCTCAGACACTGACTCTTAAAGCTCAAAAGAGGGTCCGATAAAACTTTCCAGGATGGGTCCAAGAAGGAGCTCTCGCTGGGTAGAAAGGCCTCAGCCATCTGATCCCATGTAAGCTATGGGAAATTAGGGAGTATCTCCCCAATGAAGTACTGTCGATCTGCACATGCAGAAAGATTCTCTTGGAAAAATTCCAGGCAGTGGACTGGATCCAAATGATGCTGCTTACACTATGATGTGAAAGGCTGCCACTTCAGAGCATATATTTTCCTAGTAGAGGGAGCCTTAACAATAAAAAAATTCACTAGAATTTAATATTGGGCTCCCCTCAAAGGCCAAACTCATAACTTTAACGGCTCAGGCCAGGGGTATTGAACTAAGCCCTGCAGTTGAGACAGCAATCTCCCATGGAGGGCCTACCAGGAGGAATATTAGGTCCGAGAACCACTCTCGGGCCGGCCAGCACAGGGCTATGAGCAATAGGCATACTCCATTCTGCCTTACACTTGCTAGAACTCGCAGGAGCAGTACTATCAGGGAAAAGCATACAGAATAGTGGCTACAGAAGCTGGACTTGTTGCTCAAAAGAGATAGCACTTCTTGTGCTAAAAACGGTGCATCCCAAACATTTACAAAATTGCAAAACAGTGTATTGAAACCCCTCTAACAATCACATACAGCAATGGTGTTTTGCAGAGAATGGTCAAAAAGTTAACTACAATCTGCTGCCTCCCAATGCACTAGATGTGGCAGGTTTAGCAAAACCCTGTGGGAGAATGAGCGCCCCAATGGGCTTGCCATTGAACGACTAGTACATCTGGTCATCTACTTGGTGGCATGGAGGGCAAGGTCTGCGGGCCGATGTAGCTCTTGAACTGTCTCAAGGGTTCAGCCCACGCCTCCATCAATTTCCCTGAGCCATGGTGTGCAGGGATGCACTAGCCTAACCAGCTGCGACATAGGCTTTACCAACCCATCTAGATGTAGCTATACGCTGTCTGTATGGCAATGCCGGTCATCTCCAGGACTATTGCTGAGGCAGGTGAGAGATAGCTAGCTATAACTATTGGAGATAGTAGAGTCAATCTGGCTAAAATTAAGTATCTTAGAAGGTAGCAAGATTTCAGTAGCAATGATCACAGATGGTTTTATATCAGACATGTGCCAATGATGCCCAAATATGTTGTCTAGCTTGTCTAGGTTTTGTTATTTTCTGTTGTTTTTGTTCTTTTTAGTTGAAAGACAGGGAGACATACAGTATAGTTGCCTCTGAGCTAGTCACCTCTATGCTGCTTGTCTTTAAACTGCAAGGGTTGAAGGTGGAACATGTTGTTTCTTGGCAGGACCGACGGCTATTGTAGCAACTGGCAAGGCCCCTGAGCCCAGTAAGATCTACTGTTGCATGTACAAATGTCTTGTCTATATGTAGCAGAACTCCATTTTCATTTAGCTTTTTAATGCTCCTTCATTTTCCCTCTAACCTTTATTGCTATCTGCACTTGAGATTGCCAATCTGCATTTTCTCAGATCTGTTACTGACACTCTGTACCTGTAGCAGGATTTTTCTCTGTAAAGAATGGTCCTCTGGTCATCCATGTTTCATGTTTTCAAAACATGCACACTAAGTGCTAAGAAAGAACATGATCAGTTACAAGAAGGGACCACAATTAACTTGCACCTCAGACTGTCCAGGAGCTCAGTGATGCCCTACATGCATACTGGCATGCATACAAGCACGTGGGGGCCATACAAACTACTGAGTACCATTTTGAGTTGCTGCAATGAAATTTCAGCAAAATGGACTAGCCTGCTGCATCATATTTTGTCTTTGATTTTCGGGGTGTCTTTGAATTCAGCCCTATGTAGGTTGATCATTTTCATTTCCATAAAAAGATGTGGCATCCGTTCGTTCCTAACACATTACCCAGTCCATATCAGTATAGATATCCAGCATGATATTTTTCCCCATTGAGATCTGATGTGTTTTCAAAGTGTTCCTTTAAAGAGCAGGTCATATGGAATTTTAAAGTGTCCTAATATTGTGTTGGAGTCCTCTACAATGGGTTTAAATGCATCTAAGGTCAGAAAACATTGTAATATTCTCAGAATATACATTTAATATTAGAGTCATTTACCAATGATTTCGAAACGATTTGTTCCAAGCAAGTTCGGAGCAAACCCCTTCCTTCCATAAGCCTACTCTGCTCTGATTGGTCAGCTGGCCAAGCCTGTTGTGATTGACAGAGAGAGGAGTCCTTGAGCGAGCGCTACCATTGACAAAGCACCTATACATAAAACAATAATATAGTGCTCCAATCTGTTCTTATAATAATGACATAAAATACAAAAACACTCATGCAAGCAAATCGTGCCCACAGCTAAATTTTAGCTGCAAAACTGTGAACACTTAAAACAATAATGGTGGATACGTTAGCCGAATGCTAACGTGACTAACTGATGAAACAATACAGTTTGTATACCAATATATGTCTACTGTAATGTTTGAAGGAATACAGACAAAGGATGCTCTGTCTTAACTTTTAATCAGAACAGCTGTATCACAGGCGCAGCAGCCTAACTATCTCCCGCATTAACCCTATAACTGCCGTGCAGTAAAATAAACAGCAGTTTCACAATGATTATAATATCTGTGTGCTACACTACATTCTTTATTATTAAACGAAGTAATTAGAACAATGTCAGTCTACATTAATCGACACATTCTTAGGAAATAGTGGGTTCACAGTGAATTATCAGAACTAGGTAAGACAGTAATATCGTGCTTTACCTGGAACCCTAAAGCTGCACTAGGTATACATCACATATTATCACAGAAACATGATATTTTGAGCACTATATTGAAAAATAAGATGATAAAGAAGATTAGAAGCCAACGAAGATAAAAGCCAAGGTTAGAGAAGCAGGCCTTGGTAAAACGACAAGCACACAACAAAAGGTTTGAATTGTATTTCTGTGGTATCCTTGAACACAGCGTCTTCTCAACATGATGTAAACACACTAACTAGCGGAAGTGTTTGTGAGCAGGCCAGTATTTCGCTAGCAGGTCTGTGTTGGAGTGGGTAATAACAGCCTGAGCTACCAAATATATTTTTCCAAGGCACATAACCAAACCATGCTCTATTTTATTATAGTCCACTACACTTGAATGTGCATTATGGAAATACAGATCTGTCACTATTTCTGTTTCATCGTGATTTTAATGACAAATCTCATCCATGGGCAGGTGTTCCCGGTGGAGTACCCGGTGGAGTACCAGGTGGAGTACCAGGTGGAGTACCTGGAGGTGTACCTGGAGGTATTTTTATTATATATACAGCCATTTATTCAAGACATTAAAATTACAGTTCACTTGTGCTTAAATCCTAAAAGTCTTAAATTTAAAAGATTTAAATTTGACTAAATTCTCATAACAATTAAGCAGTCATTATGAATCATAAATTGTGAACTAAAAGATTCATTCTCTAAAATGAATTTATGGTTTTGCAGGGTATCCAGCAGGAGTTAAACCTCCGAAATATGGTGAGAGAACATTTTGTAGGTATTTTAAGATTTTATATTTAGGTTTTTTTATACTTATTAAATGTTTACACCAAAACAAATGAATAGCACTTTTGAAAAACGTCTGAAATCATATTCACTCGAGGTGTACAGGCTACTCATGATATAAATATATGAGTAGTTTAGGACACAGCCTATTTGGAGTAAATACAATTTTTTTTTAACTTATTTATTTCATATTAAAGAAGTATGTAAGTAACCATTCATGAAAATATACCCCAATTACATAATGCCAATATCTTTATTACAGTATTTTTATGAACTTCAATACATAAATTTGATTATAGAAAAAAATAAAACATTTGTTTGTTGACCAGCAAAATTATGAACATTTAATAGAAATTACTGACCATTCTTTTGATTACAATAAAATTACGATAACACTTTAGATTAGGGAACATAATTATCTAACTAGTTGCTTAGTAGCATGCCTATTACTTGCATATTGACTGTTTATTAGTTGCTATAAAGCACATATTAATGCATGTCCATATTCTAGATCCCTTAACCCTACCCCATACCTAAACATAACTATTACAACAACTACATTACTTACTCCCAATAAGCAGCAAATTAAAAGTTTATTGAGGGAAAACTCTTAATATTTAATAGTGAATATGTGTCCCCTAATCTAAAGTGTTACCAAAATTACTAGTCATAGCAGCTGCCTGTACATTTTTTCAAAAGAATCATAATAAACTGTAGTAAAGTAGATGTTAGCGCAAACTATGTGGTAATGATATGAATGGTGACATGGGTTGCCTGCAGGAGGTGCAGGTACAGTACCTGGTGCAGCAGGAGCGCCACTGCCTGGAACTGGGACGGGACTGACACCAGGAGCCGGGGTTGGAGGTACTTGATTCAACTGACCCATGATCAGGTCACTATCAATGTGAGATAATAATCACCAGCAATCAATAAGACTCATTTTAATGTTTTCAGGATATCCTGGTGGAGTCAAACCTCCTAAAACTGGTACAGTAGTTCATATATTAGCTTCATATATTTCTTAACAAGCTGCTTCATTTAAACCTGTGTTTACCTGCCTTTTAATGAGGTAATGCAGCCTAATGGATTCCACTGATGCACTTCTTCTCATTGTCTGCTAGGCGCTGGGATCACTGGAACTGGAATAGCAGCTCCTGGAGCAACACCTGGTGGTGATGTGGTGGTCGTACCGGGTGGCACAGGCATCGGTGTTCCTGGAGGTACTGGTCTGCCCTTTGCACCAAGTGGAAAACCAGGTACAACAAATAGGCTTAGTCCACCAAATGCCATGAAGCACATAGTATGTCATGCTTGATTTGAACTAATGTGTTTGTTCCACAGCAAAGCTTCCAACGCTGGCTCCTGCAGGGACTGCTGTACCGGGTAAATACAAAACTGATTCTGTTTGATAAATGAGCAATCTCTATGCACTCGTAATTACATTTCAGTTTGTTGCCATAGAAAGAAAGTAGTAGCTCATTCAAATAATGTACAGATTTTTGCAAAAATTCTGCAAACAGTTACAGTACAGGCAAATAATGGTGATTGAATTGGGGTCAGAAATACAGTTATTTCAAAATGAAGCATATCCATTATTTCATAGACTAAACCTTTAATTAAAGAAAGAATACACATTTACTCAATAGCATCCCCTTAAAGTGTGCCTTATACAAAATGTTACATATGTAACCCTGGTTCCCTGAGTAGGGAACAAGATGCTGCATCATGCGATAACACTATGGGGAATGCCCTCGGCATGACAGTGTCTGAAGAATGTGTGCAATCACACCATTGGCAGACGAAGAGGTCAGCTGACATAATGCACTGCATCACCTACATCATAAAAGGCCATCTCAAATATCACGTCCTCAGATTATCTGAAGGAAGATGCACGGGCCTGCCTGAAGTATGGCAATGAGACGCAGCATCTCATTCCCTACTCAGGAAATAGGAATTCAACGTTGCGTCATGAGTTGACTTTATGGGGAACTGTATACCAATTATTTCATTCTGCAAAATGGACTTGATAATCACAGACAGTTGTGTTGGAACAGGGTTGGAACTGAACTCTGCAGGTAGGCAGATCTCCAAGAACAGGATTCAGTACACCTGCCCTAGGACAATCCTCAGACACTGACTCTTAAAGCTCAAAAGAGGGTCCGATAAAACTTTCCAGGATGGGTCCAAGAAGGAGCTCTCGCTGGGTAGAAAGGCCTCAGCCATCTGATCCCATGTAAGCTATGGGAAATTAGGGAGTATCTCCCCAATGAAGTACTGTCGATCTGCACATGCAGAAAGATTCTCTTGGAAAAATTCCAGGCAGTGGACTGGATCCAAATGATGCTGCTTACACTATGATGTGAAAGGCTGCCACTTCAGAGCATATATTTTCCTAGTAGAGGGAGCCTTAACAATAAAAAAATTCACTAGAATTTAATATTGGGCTCCCCTCAAAGGCCAAACTCATAACTTTAACGGCTCAGGCCAGGGGTATTGAACTAAGCCCTGCAGTTGAGACAGCAATCTCCCATGGAGGGCCTACCAGGAGGAATATTAGGTCCGAGAACCACTCTCGGGCCGGCCAGCACAGGGCTATGAGCAATAGGCATACTCCATTCTGCCTTACACTTGCTAGAACTCGCAGGAGCAGTACTATCAGGGAAAAGCATACAGAATAGTGGCTACAGAAGCTGGACTTGTTGCTCAAAAGAGATAGCACTTCTTGTGCTAAAAACGGTGCATCCCAAACATTTACAAAATTGCAAAACAGTGTATTGAAACCCCTCTAACAATCACATACAGCAATGGTGTTTTGCAGAGAATGGTCAAAAAGTTAACTACAATCTGCTGCCTCCCAATGCACTAGATGTGGCAGGTTTAGCAAAACCCTGTGGGAGAATGAGCGCCCCAATGGGCTTGCCATTGAACGACTAGTACATCTGGTCATCTACTTGGTGGCATGGAGGGCAAGGTCTGCGGGCCGATGTAGCTCTTGAACTGTCTCAAGGGTTCAGCCCACGCCTCCATCAATTTCCCTGAGCCATGGTGTGCAGGGATGCACTAGCCTAACCAGCTGCGACATAGGCTTTACCAACCCATCTAGATGTAGCTATACGCTGTCTGTATGGCAATGCCGGTCATCTCCAGGACTATTGCTGAGGCAGGTGAGAGATAGCTAGCTATAACTATTGGAGATAGTAGAGTCAATCTGGCTAAAATTAAGTATCTTAGAAGGTAGCAAGATTTCAGTAGCAATGATCACAGATGGTTTTATATCAGACATGTGCCAATGATGCCCAAATATGTTGTCTAGCTTGTCTAGGTTTTGTTATTTTCTGTTGTTTTTGTTCTTTTTAGTTGAAAGACAGGGAGACATACAGTATAGTTGCCTCTGAGCTAGTCACCTCTATGCTGCTTGTCTTTAAACTGCAAGGGTTGAAGGTGGAACATGTTGTTTCTTGGCAGGACCGACGGCTATTGTAGCAACTGGCAAGGCCCCTGAGCCCAGTAAGATCTACTGTTGCATGTACAAATGTCTTGTCTATATGTAGCAGAACTCCATTTTCATTTAGCTTTTTAATGCTCCTTCATTTTCCCTCTAACCTTTATTGCTATCTGCACTTGAGATTGCCAATCTGCATTTTCTCAGATCTGTTACTGACACTCTGTACCTGTAGCAGGATTTTTCTCTGTAAAGAATGGTCCTCTGGTCATCCATGTTTCATGTTTTCAAAACATGCACACTAAGTGCTAAGAAAGAACATGATCAGTTACAAGAAGGGACCACAATTAACTTGCACCTCAGACTGTCCAGGAGCTCAGTGATGCCCTACATGCATACTGGCATGCATACAAGCACGTGGGGGCCATACAAACTACTGAGTACCATTTTGAGTTGCTGCAATGAAATTTCAGCAAAATGGACTAGCCTGCTGCATCATATTTTGTCTTTGATTTTCGGGGTGTCTTTGAATTCAGCCCTATGTAGGTTGATCATTTTCATTTCCATAAAAAGATGTGGCATCCGTTCGTTCCTAACACATTACCCAGTCCATATCAGTATAGATATCCAGCATGATATTTTTCCCCATTGAGATCTGATGTGTTTTCAAAGTGTTCCTTTAAAGAGCAGGTCATATGGAATTTTAAAGTGTCCTAATATTGTGTTGGAGTCCTCTACAATGGGTTTAAATGCATCTAAGGTCAGAAAACATTGTAATATTCTCAGAATATACATTTAATATTAGAGTCATTTACCAATGATTTCGAAACGATTTGTTCCAAGCAAGTTCGGAGCAAACCCCTTCCTTCCATAAGCCTACTCTGCTCTGATTGGTCAGCTGGCCAAGCCTGTTGTGATTGACAGAGAGAGGAGTCCTTGAGCGAGCGCTACCATTGACAAAGCACCTATACATAAAACAATAATATAGTGCTCCAATCTGTTCTTATAATAATGACATAAAATACAAAAACACTCATGCAAGCAAATCGTGCCCACAGCTAAATTTTAGCTGCAAAACTGTGAACACTTAAAACAATAATGGTGGATACGTTAGCCGAATGCTAACGTGACTAACTGATGAAACAATACAGTTTGTATACCAATATATGTCTACTGTAATGTTTGAAGGAATACAGACAAAGGATGCTCTGTCTTAACTTTTAATCAGAACAGCTGTATCACAGGCGCAGCAGCCTAACTATCTCCCGCATTAACCCTATAACTGCCGTGCAGTAAAATAAACAGCAGTTTCACAATGATTATAATATCTGTGTGCTACACTACATTCTTTATTATTAAACGAAGTAATTAGAACAATGTCAGTCTACATTAATCGACACATTCTTAGGAAATAGTGGGTTCACAGTGAATTATCAGAACTAGGTAAGACAGTAATATCGTGCTTTACCTGGAACCCTAAAGCTGCACTAGGTATACATCACATATTATCACAGAAACATGATATTTTGAGCACTATATTGAAAAATAAGATGATAAAGAAGATTAGAAGCCAACGAAGATAAAAGCCAAGGTTAGAGAAGCAGGCCTTGGTAAAACGACAAGCACACAACAAAAGGTTTGAATTGTATTTCTGTGGTATCCTTGAACACAGCGTCTTCTCAACATGATGTAAACACACTAACTAGCGGAAGTGTTTGTGAGCAGGCCAGTATTTCGCTAGCAGGTCTGTGTTGGAGTGGGTAATAACAGCCTGAGCTACCAAATATATTTTTACCAGACCTTTATTTTTTACATTCAGCATTCTTGTACTTTGTGATAATAACAATAATGCTTCAAAAGTTGTAAAGACACAAACAGTGATATTTATGTTTCAATAAACTTAAAATTTAGGTGGAATTAGTTTAGTTTAATTTCAGTATAACCCACTAACTTCCAGTAGTCATTAATGAGATTAGATCTATCAAAAACCTTATAATCTGCGATGTTATTATATCAGTCAGTCATCATGGGGCTCAAAAGATACCGTTTCCTGAGAATGACCCAGATGGGGTCACTGCTGGACACACTAGGGGTTGTATTCATTGTTGGGCTGTGTTTGTGCATTCATCTGACTGTAGATGTACGCTGATACACAGTAAAATCCCGAGTGTTAAATTAACACTGTTCAGAGCATATATGGTCCCACTCTAAAAGAGTGTTAAAGTAAGCGCAATTGTGTGTTAAATACATATGTGATGGCAAGGAACTTATGATAAAATCATGTCATGTGTCTGTGTCTCTGATTGAAATTTATCTAAAACTTTAGTGCTTCATGCTTTCTCTATTGCTTCAGTTATGAGACAACAATGTGAAATCTTTCTTAAACAACTTTTATAAATATGGTTCATAACGATGTTTCAAATCTGGCACTCATAGACATGAAGAATCAGCATGTGAACCTCAACAATGGTGACAAAATATTTTGATAATTTTTATGTGATTTTTGAATGTGACAAAACAAAGCAGAAAAAAGTCACAACAAAAAATAACAAGAATAAAAGCAAATAGTAAAAAGAAAAGAAAATACTAAGACGATGCAGCTGCATAATTTATTCATGTCGCAATGCATGCTGGGAGCCATGGATGAGTTATGACTGGTGCACCCAGAATGCAATGCAGCATGAATCTGTCTGATGATCATCACCATTGTTGAGATTCATATGCTGATTCTTGATGTCTGCGTGTCTAAACAGCACAGATGTTCTAAACTGGTGTGCAAAGTCTTTTTAAAGCTCTTCCTATTATTTCATTAAAATACAGTTATGATCAATAACAAACTATACCAAATAACAAACCTGGCCGCATCACGACAACAATGTCATTTATCAAAAAAATGGCCAATATAATCTGAACACATTTTCTCTTGGTTTTTATTGCCATAACAAATGTGTTTCATAAACACAGTGACAGCAACCAGAGAAAAACTAATGTTAAAAAGGTCAAGAGTCAAGAGCCCGACTAAAGCAAACACTTATCTCCACAACGGTGACTTCAAATTGTATTATTTTCAATAAACATTAACGTCTAAATCTCTGTTAATTCTTAATCAAAAATTCTAACTGGTTAGTAATGCATGAAGCTGGTGATGCTGTTGGTAGAGTTGTTCAATCATCTTCTGCTGAGATCTTGAGAGATTTAATGTCTTCTTTTATTTCAGTTGATTTTATCTAAGTCTGTGGCTGAAGTCAGTTGTAGTTCTTGTGATTCTGCTTGTTAACAGCAGCTGTTCATCACTAATACTCAATCAGCACTTAATTAATCACATAATTATCTCATTAACTTGACCATATAGCATTGTTAATTAAACACTCAGGATTTTACTGTGTAAACCTGGAGTTGGTAAGTCCTCAATATACAACATTAGACACTAAAATTATATGTCCTGGCGTTCAGATATATCATTCATCCTGAGCTGTGAGAGAAGTTGAATAGGCTTCCTTTAACACAGTGTTGTCATTTCCTGTCAAGATCCAGCTACTTCCTGACTAACTTGACATTTGCCCCATTTACTTTGGAATCACCGCATTAAAAAAAGAAAAAAAAAGAATCAAAGACCAAATTCACAGTCCAAAGCTCTATAGTTGTTTACAGTCTCTACAGGGAAAGGGCAAAATGTTCAGAAAATAATCCATGGTAATATTTTAAATGTGTGCATTACTTAGTTGTACCACTTGGGGGCAGGGTAAAATCCCTTGTGACAAAGTTCTCTGTCCTCATACCATCTGCGTGATTTCAAAGGAATATTTAAAAATAATAATAATAATCACCATAAAAGTCACTATGGTAAAACTATGCTATATTTTGTACTGTGTAAATACATGAATATGTCATAATGCAGTCTAGAGTACCATGATGCCTCTGATATTAAGTATCATCCTCCACAATAATTTCAGTGTAAGAAAGTCGGTAAAAAAGTCCTGATGTATACACTCAGCAAACATAGTTGTAACAGATAAGTATAGTCCTATGACGAAACAGAATTGTATACAATCTCACACTGGGTAAAACTCAGGAAGTGTAAGTTCTGTCATATGAAAAGTGTAATAAATATGCACATGCACCCAAAATCTAAGCACTGCTCTATACACTTTACACAGAAACGATAAACAAACAAATAAACATTTTGATAGGCACCTATATTTGACTATAGTGTAACATACACGTTTGTGTTTACAGGTCCTGGTGGGGTTTACCCATATGGATATGGTAAATATGATCAGTCAATCATTAAAGACAAAAACACATTAAAAACTTACCAAAGTCAAAATCATGCTGAATATTTCTTCGTCCTGTTGTTTTAGGCCCATTTCCTGGTGGCACTGGAGCAGCTGGAATTGGAACTGGTGTGTTACCTGGAGCCAAACCTCTGAAAGCCCCTGGTAAGATCATATGTACTGTACCAGGGGTGGCCAACATCGGCCCTGGAGAGCCACAGTCCTGCAGAGTTTCACTCCAACCTTAATCAAACACACATAAACAAGCTAGTCAAGGTCTAATAGTTATTAGAAAGCTGCAGTCAGGTGAGTTTTTATCCAGGTTGGAGCAAAACTCTGCAGGACTGTGGCTCTCCAGGACCAACTTTGGCCACATCTGAACTATATCCATATAACTACCTTTGCTACAGATTACTCAGGCATCAATAACGAAGTTCACATAGACTAAGATATTCAGATATTGGAATTAATTGGTCAAAATCTTAAGTTGACTGCTATAAGCAGATAGAACTGAGATATAATTTTATAAGTTAATGTAAAGACCTTCAGAATTCACAAGATCCATTGTAACAGAAAATGATCAGAAAATGCTGATTACCATATACTGTGTATGTATATATATATATATATATATATATATATATATATATATATATATATATATATATATATTTGTTTGGTGTCGCAGGTGTAGGGGGAGTTGGAGGGGCAGGACTCGTACCTGGAGCAGGTGAGATCTAATGCAATACTAAATTACTTGATACTTGATCCTTTAGCAGTGTTCCTGTAGCTTGAAAAGTACTAAAAGTACAATACTAAGGTCACAGCTTCCCAGGGAATACATAAACTGAAAAAATGCATGTTTTCAATGCAATATATATCACTTTGAATACAAATGTATGCCAAGTGCATTAACAGTTGTGAGTCAAATGCTTTTGGAAGGGTCCAGGTTTTTACATTTTTCTAGAAGTTATGAAGGCGCTGGGCTGTCTATATGTAGACCTCTGTAGGGAGGATTTGCAGTTTGTTAGTGAAGATAGGAGGGTGCTCCAGAACCTGATCGAAATATCAGTGCCTTCTTAAACAGAGGTGTAAGATTGAAAACCAAATATGCCACTATATTCGGCATAATTTGCTCAGATAGGAAGGTTGTGATTTTACTGCATTACAGGGGTGGCCAACATCAGTCCTGCAAAGTTTTTCTCCATGTTGTGTATATCGGGAAGAGGAGGGGGCCAAGCATCAAACCCTGAAGTACCCCAGTCCCAAAGGATAGCCAGTGTAATTTAAACTTCCCTTTAAGATACTCCAAAGGATAGCAGGGAGGGCAGATCCTATAATGCAGAGTGTTGATCATGATCATGAGCTGTGATGTCCTCTACAAGGACAGCCCTGACTCTGTAACATGACACAAACCATTTTCTGTCAAAATACTGAACATACTATTGAAATAGTGTTCCTTGTGTTACTGGGCTATTGTTAAAGACACAGATCATCTTGTTGCAGGTGGAGGGTATCCAACAGGTGTTGGTGTGGGAGCTGGTGCTAAACCACCTAAACCAGGTAGCAAAAGAAAGCATACACAATATTCATGTTCTGCAACACGACGCCACACTGTGCTTCAAAAACATTGCCAAATTCATTTTTTAAAGATTTTCCCCAAGAACAAATGTACTCCCCATGGCCATAGATTAACACTGAAGCTTCAACTAACTGGAATTGTAGAGGATATAGGGAAATGCATCTAGAAAGTACAAAAAATTAATTGTGGGTTTTTGTTTTCTTCCTCTAAATTGTGTGAGCAGTGATTGTGCTGAGTGTTTAACATCTAACTCTATCAACAGGCTACGGCTCTTTGGGTACAGGATACGCACAGCCAGGTGAGGCCCAGCATTAACTCTACAAAGAATGATTGCTTCACGCAGATCTTAATTGGCATCTACACATGTTCTTGAATATATGTCTATATGTTTGTGCAATAGACAAGTTTTACTGGAAAATGAGGAGAGGTGTTATAGAAGTGGTGCTCAAAGTGGGCCTTTACTGGTGCTGAGCTCTGCCAATTATGTGTGACTCTGTTAACAGTAACAGGAATGATTGTTTTGCATCATTCGGTCTTTTGACATGCTGGTACTCTCTCGAAACCAGAATCCCCCGGTCGAGCAGACAGCCTAACCCCTCTGTCCTGCCCACGACACATGTACATTCACACTCATAGCAGTAACACACTTGTGTAATCACTCTCACACACACAATGCAGAGAGCCTGAGATCATGGGTTTGTATTGGTCCTGTGAGCAATGATTTGATGTCACTGTGTTCTCTCAAGCACTGTCCTTTCAGAACATCTTCCTCAGTTGGCTTCTCTGCTTATGCAGATACACAGTAAACCCAGCCAAAACCATCTGCCAGAATACTTGCTGTATTCACAACACAGTCACAAAAAAAGATGTTTCTACTGAGAAAAAGACTAAATTACTCTTAAATTTGTGTCCTTTGGCATTTCAGAAAAGTGTTCTCAATCTGTGCTTTAATTTGCCAAAATACTAAAGCCTTTATAATTAGATTACAAGTTATAATGAATACTAATCCTGTTTATTGACAAATGCTGTTTTAGATCAACCGAGTTAGAGATCTAAATCTTTTTGTCTTTTCTTCCTACAGGTGGTGTAGCTCCAGGAGGATATGGAGGATATCCACAAGCATATCCAGGTATCATTTTATAGAAATAATTCAAGGCTAAATTCAAATTGTATCTCCTTATAGAATTCAGCCCCTCTGTAGTTAATTTCCCATTTTGAGGGCCATTGTACGTTTGATAAGATGTCTCGAGTGTTCCCAGAAAGTGTCTGTGAAGCTTCAGCTCAAAATACACCACAGAACAATTATTATTCAATGTTGTAAATGGCCATTTTTTGGGTGGAAGCACACATATGCTGTTTTTGTATGTTTGTCTTTAAATGCAAATGAGCTGCTGTTCCCCAACCCCCTTTTCAGAAGAGGGCGGAGCTTGTGGCTTAGTGGCGATAATCAAAACATCAGTTTTTTTTATTATCATGTATGCATATTGCAGTTCTTTGTCATCATCAAGTTTATTCCTTGCATGTGTTGTCAGTTTAAACTTCTGATATGCAGTTTGTTTGAGTGCACAGAAAGCCGTCTCTTTTGCATCAGCTGTCAAAAACACGCAAGGTTATGTGAAAAACACAGACTTCACATAAATGGAGCGTAGCGATAGTTCTGGCAGGCCATGTTAGTCAAGCTCACCTTTCCAGCTTACTCAGCTGATCCACGTCTACCTATAGGATCACGACACCAATCATAATTCCCTTCACAAGGTCCCTTCAGTCATTATTCAGCAGCTATCGCTTCGCTCAGGAACTAATCACCCACCTCCATCCCCAGCTCCTCCTCTCGTCCAGTCAGGACTTGGCAGTGAATATATCATTGAGTCAGAACACTGAATCATGTTGTTAAAATAATCTTGTAGAACATTAATGGTATCTGCTACATTTATCATTGATGTTGGTTCTGTTACCCTAGGGGGGTATTCTGCTCTCCCTGCTCCTATCCATGGTAGGCTGCGTGGATGGGCAGGGAGTGTTTGCTCAGAACAGAACCATTCCCCCAACCTAAAATGTCTGCTAATCGTAAGTTATATTGACGATAGTGGTCCTGACAGAAACACAGTCATTATGTCTGTGAACATGAACAGCTTCATGTGTATCAGTATATTAGAGCTGTGAAATGGCGACAACACGCTACTAACGTAACTCAACCAGGCCTTGCCCACTTTAGTTTTTTAGCATATGCCTTGGGTGGGATTTATTTAAAGGTGGGATACTGTGATGAGAAAACTCAGGACTACAGTTGAGATGTTTGAGGGAGTTCAGAAACAGTGCTTACTAATATACGTAGAGAATGACTTTGGAGTGACTGTGCTTTGTAAACGTGCAGATCTTTTTCATGCACAAACAGAAGGGGGAAAAAACCTCATAAGATCCCTCTAAACAACATATCCTGACAGACAATACGCTGAAAAGCGTCACTGATCACTATGGAAAGACACGTTGACTGCTGAAATCCACTTGCTATGAAAAGCGTCGGCTTGAAGTGCAAATATTATGCAAAGTGTATTTGCATTCTGACTATAATGTGAGTCTCGGTGCTTGCTAATACTCACGCTCAAGCTGCTGTCATAGCACACTATTATGTGTTAGTTATTATATAATCACAACGTAGAGCTGCTCGGTGGGTTTATTATTATCTCCGTCCAGATGCTCTTGGTCACAGCTGGTCATAAATCTCCTGCTGGAACAAACAGTAATCCTGACGCTGTCTGTTGGCTTACTCACAGTTCATATTGGCATCTATTTCACACAGTTATTCTTCGCTTTACTTACTTAATTAGACACAATGCCACATTTCACTCAGTCACTCAAGAGGTTTGAACAGCTCATAATAATGCAATGATTTCTTGTGTTTTAGGGGGATATGGAGCAGGACTGACACCACAACAAGGTAAACGCTCTTAAAACCCTTACAACATCACTGGAAGATGCAGTAGAATGAGACTGAGCTCTAGCTGATTAGCTCATTCAGTCTCTTTAACTCTGAAGTGTGTGTATATATATATATATATATATATATATTCAATAAAGGGATGAATTAGACTAATGAAGAATCTCCAAGCTGCTAATTGAAAGTAAAACGAATATCCGAATATCGGTCCATACAGCTCAGACACTGTATTCCAAACACTCTGCACTCATACAATAGCTTTGTGCATTCATTTCAAATATGGGGCATCTACAATTATATTTTGCATGAAGAAAATTAAACCTGTTTTAAGAGCACAGATTCTTTCAATTAAACACATTTTCCACAAAATTTCTAATGATTTTGGTGCTTTTACTTTTTTCTTTTGTAATTCTCAATGGTCATATTTTATTATCATCACTGAAATACACAAAAGTGTAATACTTCCAATGATGTATACATACTTTTGTAGTGAATTTGTTTCTAACGTTATTTTCATTTTCTTCATGACAATATAATTTCTTTTTATTTCTTGCGATGAAATGTGGCGTGTGACATGTTCTTGACATGTTTAGTGAGATTCACCCCCTCTAGATGATTTAGGCTTTCATGAAGCATCAGTGAGTGTCTTCGATTCAGATCTGATCTCCTGATTTGAGACGCTTGAAAAACGGGCCTCAATAATAAATGCATATTGCAGGCATAGAAACACACGTTATGCTAAGAGAGCTTTGTGGATGGCAGAACGTCTGACAGCGACAGCGATCGCAGCATTCACTCTTGCACACCGTGTGAAGTATGAAGAGCTCTGCTCTGATTATGCTGAGAACCAGCAGAAGTGAATGACAGCTTACGTCTAACATCAATCCTCTGTTTTGGTATCTGTCCGGTGAAGGGAACAAACTGAAAATAACAAACTGTAAAATAGTAATCATAGTTCTGACTTGTACATTATGTATGTTTAAACCTGGAAGATTAAAAGATATGCTTATGTTTTTCCCTGGACCCGGGGACTACAGGTGCTTCCATCATTTGACCAAGAATGTGTTTCTTTAATCGCTGTGTATTCACATAGAATTAGTTTATGTATATCATACGCTTACCGTAGGTTGGATCATATAACAACAGGTTACTTTGCCTTATGTTGTTTGTTTTGCACCATTTGAACTTGACATGTTGACCTATTATTGAGTTTGTACACATCATATGACAATAACTTCGTTTTAAATCGCTTCTGCAATGTAGTCACTGTGGAACTTGCAAAACTGTGTGTGCTTTTTTAAGATGTGTGTGTGTGTGTGTGTGTGTGTGTCCCAAGAGCCTCACTAGCCAATGTATTATCAAACATATAATGTGTCAGTTTTTGATACTGTTTTCGATCCGTCTGGAGAGACACTTTATCATGCAGTAATGTGTTTGAGCTGCCTGTGAGCCCTACCAGCTCTTCTCTATTGTGCCCTGGGATTTCCATCTTATTTAAATAAAGGGGCGGGGCTGTTGCACTTTTCCACAACCTATATTCTGACTAGTTCCCGGAAATCCCGGCATTTTACCTGCTCTAGTGAAAAATTAAATAAAATATTTTAAATAATTAAAAACTGCGTTCTTGGTGTGCATGATTGTGTAAAATGATAAACACACACCGTGAAGGTGAATGATGGGTCATGTCTCAAACTGTTCTGAGATCACTGTAAACCACAGCTTCATGTGGATTAATGCATTAATAAAACAGCTACCACACACAGATTTCATCAAATAAACACAGCAACAGTAATACTGGAGTAATGAGGTCACAAGGGTGTGTTTACAGAGTATTTTACAACAGTGTCTAAAGAGGCTCAGCCATTTCTAACGACGGACTGGAGCATCTATAAAACTACACACCAAACTCCCAGTGTTGAGAATAAGGTTACTTCAGAAATGTATCAGGTCACAGATTACAAGTTACCCTATTTAAATAAGTAATAAGTAGTGTAACTATTTCAGTTACTTTATTAATGTAACTGATTCCATTTGATTACTTTTCTAAATACCTAAAGCATGTTTTCAACAGTTAATAATATTGAAGCATGTAAAGCAGGCAGGGTAACATTACAGTAGTGCTCTGATTACTGTCAGACTTTCACTTTAAGATTATAATTCTTTCATTTTGAAGCACAGCCACCACAGAATCAGACTTTAGCTCCTCTTTTTACCTTAAGATCGTTCTGAGGATAAATACAGGTTTAAAATCACAAGATATAGTTTAGTAGCTATGATACTGTTTCTGAAATCAAATCTTTTCACAGCTATGACCGAAGCACTGATATCTGACAGTGTCTTGGACAAACTGTTCATCTTAAAAATAAAGCATATAAACCCAAACAGGGAATAACACAGTGATCGCATGAGCATGTGTCTCATATTTTAGAGCAGTCAATGCGATTTATGAAAGAAATCAACTACATCTGTATATGTGTGAAAATATTCAGATGTGAATATATGTAATCATTAATATTTTCATAACTTTAATTACGCTTTTTTTCTCTCAGTAACTGCCACTGATTACAGTTACATTTATTTTGTAATTAAGTGACCTAATTCTGTCACATGTAACTAGTTACTCCCCAGCACTGGCAAGCGTCTCAAACTCTCAGCGCTTCACCCGTGCAATAACCAGTCTCTCAGCGCTTCACCCGTGCAATAACCAGTCTCTCAGC